GGGGCCATACAGGGAAATGTAAAGTTGGTAAGTGAGAGAGAAGCCATATTGTTTGAAAAGGTTAGCTTTTTACTTCTTTGCAGATTTATGCCCTGTGGCTTCTATGCCCAGCATTTGTCTTGAGGTATCTTTACCACTTGGAGGAGTTATGATACTTGGTGAATTCTGTATGAGGCACTCATTTTTATTTATAAAGTCTATTTCAAATGTCCAAGAGTTTTTTTTTAGTTCTAAAAAAAGCAACAGAAACAATCATATATTTTAACAAATTACTTACAGCTAAGTAACAGAGTAAAACTCTGTAATAGTGAATTTTGGGAACAAGGTGTCATGTGTTAACAGCTTCTGTTTATTAATGCTTACTAGGTGCCAGACAATGTGCTAAATTAGCATACTTTTCCTCATACTCAGCTGAGCTCATTTGTACCCCTTAGGCTGTCTGCCTTTTCACGGGGTAAGTAGGAAATACAGCCTGAGGTGAGGATAAGCATGTGGTACAGTGGAAAAAACAAGCTGTAATCAGAAGATCTAGAATTCCTAGCCAAATCATTTAGTATTTTTACTCCGATTATTCCCATGACTTAACTAGGTATGTAAGTAACAAAACAGAAGCTAATAAAACCCATTCTGCCTTCTACAAAAGATGGCTGTAATGATCAAATGACATGTGACATGAAATACCTTCTAAGCTATATAACAAAAATGGTATCATTCATTTAAGAGAACTAGAAGAAGCTGTCTCCCAAATGAAGCCCTTAATCTTCTCCCCAGAAGACACACTCACATGTTGACAGCCATCTGGAGACAAATGTCATGTCTAATTCAGCGAAAGAAGAAATAATGGGAAATTCAGGACAGATTGGAAGGAAGAGTGGCATACCACAGGACACATATTTTTGGGTTAACAGAACCTTACAGCATTAATCAAAAAACCACTTTAATCAAAGACATCTACTCAACACAGTTGGATTTATATATTAAATAATGAGTTTTCTAATAGTTTTCTCTTATGATACTCTTATGATACTGGTATTCTTCTTGTACACTTTTATCATTAACACACCAAAATCTTATAAGAGAAAAGATAATTTGGTTAATACCTTGTTCCAGCCGCTGGCATGAACTGTGGTCTCCAGTGTACATTCCCGATATGCCTGATAAGTCACTGGCCTGTAGAAATTTTTTAAAAAGTCTGTGTCACAAAGAAGGAAAATTCTAAATTTCTAGATGAATAAATATACAGTCACTACTCTGCTGTTGAACTTTTCGCTAAAGTAACAAAAATAACATATTGCTTGTACAAGACAGGGCTCTTAATATTTGGTATGCATTGTTCTTTTAAGCATTCTCTACAGGCTGAGATGCATGCTACCAGTGAAGGAAAGCAGTTAATAGCATTAACAAAATAATAATAAATAACAATGAATTTTTAAATAATTGCTTGAAAGCTATCCAACAGGATTTCTATGTTGCAGTTAGATATTTGGGTTATTAATATAGGATCAAATAATAACATAGAAAAAAACTCATTAATAAAAGAGCATGATTTTTACTTTTTTAAAAGGCAAAAAATCTAAAATATCTAAAAATTAAAGAGCTACGTCATCGAAAGACTTTTCAAATTGTGGATCTAAGGAGTTGTAATTAAACAAGGCCAATAAATGGAGCTCTAGTTTTAATTGGTTATCTTGTGATAAAATCCTGGAGGGCAGAGAGAGAAGCCTTTCTCATTATTTCCATTACATTCTAGTCTTATCAAAAACTCCAATCATTGAGTGATGACAACATTCACTCACTAACTTATTGAGGGACTTTAAGTTCTATATTCTACATTCTAAGACTTTAGTTTCATGTGCAAATTAACAACAGCAACAAAAACACTTCGCAACAAGTAACATATAAGGCACCAATGGCTTGGGCCATAGAAGTTTACCTCCCCGCTTTCTGTGGGCAAAGTATTAATATATACGTAAAAAAGAAAGAGAAGAGTCTTGCTTTCATTGGAGTTAAAAATCCATTCCAAAGGCATTTTTTGCTCTGACTACACTGGTCTGTTATCTCTTCTGCCTATGCATACTCAAGACTGATAACAGCTACCACTCACTGGTAGCCTACTGTTGGTTTTATATTTTTATATATTTATGTTTTATGTTGCATATTTTCACAGCTGGCAAGCAGTAATGCAGGAATTCACACCCAGTTGGATCTGGCTCCAAAGGCCACACTGCTCCTATTTTAAGTTAGGACTTTGATACGTGCCACAATAATGTGCATGTGTGGCTACTGAGCATTTGAAATGTGACTAGTGATGTGCTGTAAGTGCTACAGACATACCCAACTTCAAAGACTTGCTAAGAAAAGAATGTAAAATTATCTCTATAATTTTTTATATTGAGTATGTTAAGCTATTATATTTTTAATACATTGAGTTACATAAAATATATTATTAAAAATCTTAATTTTTTATGTGGCTCCTAGAAAATTTTAAATTACATCTATGGGACTTGCATGGTATCTATCATACAGAGTACTGGTCCACATAGTTCAAAAAACATTTCTGATGACACAGGTATCATTCTTTTATATAAGTCGATATAAAAACAATATTACAATGAGGCTGAAAGGAGGTAAGATATCAGGGATGACCTTTTAAAAATAAAATGTTATATACTACCTTCCTGATATCATATTCCTATTAGAGTAAGCTTAGAATTTTTAAAAGCTTTAGGCTAAATACTAGGTAGCTGTCAAACTTGAACTTTAGCAAATAACTATACAGTCTACCTACCTATATTCTCCCTGAAGCCTCACTTGTACATACAGGCCCTTTGCTTCCTTTCCTAAGCTGTACTGCTGCTGTGGGTCACAGCAGTCCTTACTGGTAGCTTGTCTATAGGCTAAAGCACTTTGGCATCCTTCAGAATGAAACATGATTTGAATAATTAATTACATGTACACACATATATGCACATACAAGATCCAGCAGATTAAAACATTCAAAGGAAATCTAATACATATAAAATTAAGTAGCTGAAAAATCAGCCCATCTAATGAACTATTTGAACCCAGCAAAGGAGAAAATGGGGGTAGTGAAAAACTTTTTGAAACTGCTACTGCTCCACTAAACAAACAAGTCAGGATGAATTTCTCACTTTAACAAAACTGTGTGGAGGAGGTGGTCTTTTCCACCTTAGAAAATACTGCCATCAACCTGTATAATATTTCTAGTTCATCACTACTTACTTACTTTCAAGGTTTTAGTAACAGAGATTCACAACTTTCAAAAGTAGATTTCTGAAAAAAAATTTATTCATAAAGAGGCCTGACTGATATACTAAAAAATAATTATATTACTATTCAGGCTTTGCAGGGCAGGGGAACCCAAATATTTATCCAAAACAAATTTTTTAAAAATATAATTTACTTTGCAATGAAAAAATATCAATTTTTCCTGTAGATTATGAAAAGAATGTCAAAAAGTACTTTAAAAATTATATAATACTATTTTTCTGAGATCTTAAAATATCATAGTAAAACTATAATTAACACACAGAGAAATTGAGATTTAGAGTGAAGCAGTTTGCGTTAAGCCACAAATAGTTTGTATCAAAATTGGAAACAAATTTTTTGTATTATACTTCTTGGTTATTTTATTCCCAGTCCCAATAGTTTCACAAATTTTTTTGGTGTTTGTTTTTGTTTTGGCAAAACAGGTTTCTTCAAGTCTGACATGAAACCCCAATATGTAAAATATATGAAAACACAGCAGTACCTATTTAAGCAGAGTGGAGAGGACATAACAACTCCCTGACTCACTCTATCCCTCACCTTCTCAGGGCCTCACGGCCCCACACAGCACCCTGAAAACCACTGCTGTTTGTCCAAATTTTCTATTTATATTCAGACACCCGTAATCTTCTCTCCACATTTAAAAAAAACTTTTCTATATATATAAAGTTAAGAAAATCCAAATATGATTTTCATTTCAATGTTTTCTATGAATTATTTGGATTTTTATATTTGTTCATGTGACCAGAATATGCAAAAACAACTGAATTCTCCTCAATTCCAAATTGCTTCCTTCTAACAAGTGGCAATGTATAAACTCTGCGTACATGAAAGTAAGGAATTACCTTACTACAACAGTGATCTGGCATCTGAATTTTGGCCCTTTCAGTGAAGGAACAGTCTTTATCCTGTTTTAGATAGTTGTTAATCTTCATGAAAACAAATGTTTTTTCTAATTCATACCAACTGCTTAATGATTGATTCGCAGCATAAAATTAGAAGAAATGAATTTTAACATTCGCAGTAAGTGACTTGGTTCTCCCTTAGTACCTTTCGCTATGAGCTCCTTGCCTCTAGCTTTAACAGTCAGAACCAGAGCTAGGAGAGAGGTTCCCACTATAAGAATGTGGTAGCAGTTCCATGGGCAGATGTGTGACCCCAAAGTTTAGCAACATCTGGGATACCTAAAAAACTGATACAATGTTAATCACACGTACAATGTAAAAAACCGTAGCCATTATGTTTGTTTGCCACTAAAGAGATAGTAGTAAAAAGTGGTCATAACAAGTGAAAAACAACTCAGCAAAAGCATTTGTTGAAACCTGACAGCTCAACAAGGAAAAATAAGTGGTCAAATCCATGTTGGAACAGTTAAATCACTGTTTTGATGCAAAAGTTGCCACTAAACACAGAGATGCTTTGGGAAAGCAAAAGTAGTAGTAGTAAAGAAAATAAGCGAGCAAAAAGAAATGACACGGTTCACCTAAAACAAACCCTTAACCAATCCAGTGCTGCATGAGATTGAGACTATTCGGAGAACGAATCCCAGAAGCAGCTGTAACTCACTGGCTGAGGAGCATCTGCAATGCCTTATGTAGAGGCTCTTTCAGTTCCTGTGACACCTTTTCTCCAAGATGAGCCAAGCAATCTTCTACTGAGCTTTCTGGATTAGCAGGGTTGAACACAGGAGAAGTGTGACGATCAAAGCCTGTGCTGGTGAAGGCTGAAGACAGAGCAAAAGAAAAACCTAATGTAATAAACATGATTACTGAGGGGACAGAGATACCTACAACTGGGAAGCTACAGTATGGCCACACAAAAAGGTTAGACAATCATTATGGGATATTCATCTTCCCTGGAACACAAACTTGACAGGTCCTAAATTTAGACATTTTTTTAAAGGAATGATTTTAATGGAAAAATCTTAGTTTTAAGAGAAGAAAAAGACTAAACTGACATGTTAAAGTAAATATAAAACCCAATTTAGTATAGGAATGATAAACAAGAGGGAACTCCTAGCTCTTTCATCCCTCTCTGGATTTTGTTTTTAGTATTTCCTTTTTACCTTTATAAATGTGGTACTTCTTAAATCAGATTCTAATCCGTTTATTCCACCTTAAAATGAGTCAATTATTTTCATTCTCTTTTATAAATGAACTTTCAAACTTAATATTCCTGTACATGGATAAATTTTAAAACTATGAAGGTTATACAAGTAGGTAAATTGAACATGAAAGAAATAGTCACAGTCTCTCTCCCCTCAGCTCCAACTAGCAGCCTCACATCGGCTTCCATACTCCATGTCAGACATATGTAAGCTACTTTTAAACTGCAGGAAAAACAGGCAGAATCATTGCTGCTGTCCCAGAGAAGGTACAAGAGGGTGCAGAACACAGAATCCCAAAAAATCAAGCACCCTGCACCTGCTCCAAAGAGTCATCAATAACCTCCATGAAATATGTATTGCACTAAACTAAGGTTTGCTCTTAGAAGGCTGCAAATTTTACTAGATTTCGGTATGTATTTCTTTATAAAGTGCTTACTTCCAAGAAAGATGCAAATGGCTGCAGACTTCAGAAATATTTTGTGTCTAGGCAAACTTGATAGAGTCCATTTTAACAATCAGTCTTGGATGACATGGGGTTCAATAGGTGAATGCACAAGAGCCTATTGGTTTTTCTTTTCTTTTCTGCCTTTTACCCATTTTATTATGTGTAAGTACTGTTACCAAAATTGGATAAAGTCTTAAAACAGAATTGGAACTTATATAAGTTAAAAATATTGATATCTTTGGCACAAGGATCATTACCAATAACAAGTTGCCACATTCTTTCAACAGACAGAAATGAAGGATGCGAAACTGTGATTTCCCGTAACCCCACTTTGCACTTCTTAAAGGGAGAGAAACCCTCCCAAGCCAAGAGTAGGGAGACTGTCTTCTTCTACTAGACTGTGGGCTCCCCAGGGACAAGAGGGGTCTTATTCATTCTGCATACTGAGTGCCTGGCATACTAGGCATGCAGTGAATATTAATGGAATAAACTGAGGCAAGCTTTGCTAGGCTCTGGCAACAGACGAGTGATCACAGGACAGTTGTTATCCCAGAGGGGACCCAGTCATTGCTCATTTCACCAACTGCTGGCCTTTCGTCTTCCTGAGATCATGCTGAACACCTCAGGGACTAGGTGGAGGAGACAGGGCACCAATGGGGATTCAAGACCAGAGATCTGAATGTGTCCTGCAGCCCACCCTCTGACCTCCCTGGCTTCTCCTTCCCTATCATCCTCTCATGTCTCCACCCACAGGAGGGACACTGGTAGTTCCAGAATCAACCCTTCAGTCCCTCAGAGCTGCAGGTGGCCTGAACACTGCAACTTCTACATCATTCCTGTTAGGAAAGAGTATAAAACCTAAATGTGATTTATTCCCACTAGAATGTTTAAACATTTTAACAGTAAGGTATTAACAAAGGGCCACGTGATGGAAGCTGCTCGGGTTGAGAGTGGGGGTGGGGGAATTGATAAGGGCCTGGCTATACCTGTTTTGAGTTTTTTAAACCTACCAATAAGAATAAGACAAATGTAAAGGAAAGATATAACGGGCTTAGGTGACGTCCAGGGAAGACTGTGAACCCTGTAGTATTCAGCCAATGAGGAACCAGGGGAGAGACTCGCGCACTAGGAGATAAATTATTGGCGCCAAACTTTCCAGGTGTGCCTGCCCACCAGACACCCGATCTTGCAAGACCGTCATTAAAGCCTCGCTCCGCTGTTCTCTTTGTCTCCATGTCCACTTATTGAATTTGGACCAGTGAGTGTGTTTCTCATAATTCCCAAGAAAGAAGGGTGTTCACACTAGGAAGAAAAGGGAACTTTTCTTCTCGGTACAATTTGAAGTGCAAATGGAAAACTAAGGATCTTTATTCATAAAACAAAAACAAATCTGGACTTGATAAAAGGAGAACACTATCAAGAGAGACAAGACTGAATCTTTTACTGATTTGCTGATAAAATACATCCAGTTAGCAGTGCTCCTGACATTCCTCTTCTAATTTTGAGAGCCATGCCTCATTTGTCTCCAGAGAGACCACGTGGCTAGTTGATGTACTAACACATCCCAGGAAGTTTTTCCAGTCCCAGCTGCATCCCAACGTTTACTCTGCTTTTAAACTAACCTTGATTTTTATCATGTATTTATATTATATGCATATATGTGTGCTTGCACATACAAACAGCCTTATTCTAGCAATAATAACCCTGAAGTCATGGTTTTGATGTGGTCAAAAAAACATGTTGGTAAAGGAAAATAAAAAAGAAGACTAAAATTAGGTTTCTGAACTTTTTAAAAAAATAAATTTCTACTCATATTCTCTAAGAGGGACCTGATTTATAAACTTATTTTCTCTACTAACAGCTACTCACAGGGAACTGATTTATAAACATGATTTATAATTTTTCTTGTAAAAATTATTGGGCACTACACATCCATGCAAGAACTTGTACAAGAACATTTATAACAACATTATACTACAGCCAAAAAAGTGGAAACAACCTAAGTGTCCATCAAGTGATGAGTGGATTAAAAAATGTGGTCTACCCACTATCCACACAATGGAATATTATTCCACTGTAAAATGGAATGAAGTACTGATACATTCTACCACACTGATGACTCTTGAAAACACTGCTAAGTGAAAGAAGCCAGTCATAAAACATCACACAGTGGATGATTCCATTATGTATATGTCCATAATAGGCAAATACACAGAGACAGAGAACAGATTAATGGCTGCCATGGGTCGGGATGGGGGCAAGTGCCCATGAGAGCAGAAGTGGGAAGTGACTGCCAATGTGTATAGTATTTCTTGTGGAGATGTTAAAAATGTTCTAAATTTATAGTACGGTGATGATTGTACAATTCTGTGAATATACTAAAAACCACTGAACTGTATACTTCAAATGAGTAAATTATATGGTATGTGAAATATATCTCAATAAAGCTGTAAAAAAAATCACTGTGCAAGATGTTCAATGCAGTGTTACTTATGGAGGGCAAAACAAGAAATAACCCAAATGTTCCCCTAAATTATAAGGGAATGGTTGAGTAAAATATTCAGTCAGTATTTGGAATTTCATGCAGTTAGTAGAATAATAAATATTTTCAATGTTTATGATGTTAAGTACAAACTTTGTGGCTATAAAATTATATGTACATTATGATCACAACTATCTATAGCAGCATATGTGCATGCAAAAATAGAGGCAGCTTACTTACATTTTTTCCCCTTAAATGTTGTTATAATTATGAAGATACCACATACAAACTGAACCATATTGAATGGAAAGTACCTTAACATTAGTTAAGTACCTTAACATTCAGTCCATTACATAACAACAAAAGTGGCTACATCTGAATTGCTGGGTACGGTTGGGAAAGTTTTATAACATATCCCCCAGTAAACATATAGCTTTTAAAAATATATATAACATAAAGATATAGTTTATATTAAACTATGTAAAGATATAGTTTAAAAATAAGTTTCACCCCTGTATCAACTAAGTTTTGTTATATTCAGAACACTAAAAAATCAAATCAAACAACAGTAAACCACACCAAACAGAATCTAGTTAACTAGGAAAATAAGAACAAACAGACCTTCAGAAATTTCTTTGTCCAGATATTTTAGTTCTTCTTCAATTTCAGTTTTAACTTTTAATAAAACTTCTTGATCCAGAGATTGTGAAACTACATCATGTCGAACCCCTAAAATCAACAAAAAAAGCTACTATTGAAATGGGAAGAGAGATGCCATTACAACGAGTAGTATTTTAACTATTAAGTCGGAAAATAGAAAATCAAAACTGATTAGGAGGGCTGGGGGTATTTCAAGATGAGGAAGTGAGGCCTGGGCAGGTCACAGACCAATAGAGAGGGGATGTAATTGTTACTCAGGTCGGTCCTGAATACAAACCCATTAATCCAGGCTGTGTCCTCATTTCTGGCTGAGAGGCAAGAAGGAAGTATCTCAGAAATATTTTTGACATAGTAGAAAGGGAAACCTTCATAAGAGGTTGTCTAGATCAGTGACAATGTCTTCTGACAATGATATTCATGGTCCCTTGTCTTCACACCTTCATGCAAACAGCAGCCCAAGAGAAGGCCTATTATCATCAAAAGATTTATATCCTCCAACTGAAGAAAAGTAGGAATATACCAAAAGTACTGGACACAAGCTACTGTTATGCAGTAAAAGGAAAAACAAAAGGAAGGTCTTGGGTCTGTAGCAGAGAATGGAGAACAAATGGGAGGAGTTCTGAAAGAGAAAATTAGACCAGATACTTGGCAGTTAACTAGTTTCTCCTGCCTCATATATCTGGAGCAGAGTTTCATCATTCACTGAATCCAAATATGACACCCCTTACTTCACCCCACTCATTCAGATGCATTTATAGATATATTTCCAGTACTTTTTCAGTTTTTTACATCACTGTTTTCTACCACTGACAAGTTCTATAAAGGGAAGTATTAGCCATTTGTACATTTTCATTTTTCACAAGCAAAAAATTCTTAATTCAAAGATGAGCTTATCAATTTAGGCCCAGAAACATAATTTTTATAGCATCAATGAAAAACAAAAGGTTAAACATTTCTCTATCTCACAGATTCTCTGATTAACTTTCAACTTTGGAAGTTGGAAAATAATTTCCTTTAGGCACATAAAACACTTTCCTTCTGAGCTGAGACTAACCAAAAAAACTCTCAGACCTTTAAAAGAACTTTCTGTGGAAAATACAAAATTCCTTAGGCATTTCCAACTGAAGTGCAATACAACTTAATGTCCTGATTAACATATATTTTGCTTAGGAACACTTCACTCCTACCACTTCTGCCAAGATACTTCAGGTGAAAACTATATATATAAGAAATTTAAAATATTACATAAAACAGACACAATTATTATACAAACTTTGAAGACAATATACTAGAAAGAAGGTAATCTTTTATAAATTTTCCTAAAGCATAAAGGTCTATCTTTACAAACAGCACTTTTTTCTCCAATTTTTTTTATTATAGTAAAACACATATAACATAAAAGTTACCATCCTACACAGTTTTGCATGTATAATTCAGTAGTAGTAGTAAATACATTCATAATGTTGAGCCACCACAACCTCCATTCATCCTCATAACTTTTTATCTTCCCAGTGATACTCTGTCCCCATTAAGCATAACTCCCCATATTTCCTTTTCCTCCCAGATCCTGGCAACCACCATTCTACTTCCTGTCTCCATGAATTTGACTAAATACTTTATGAATCTTACAGTATTTGTGTGTTGTGGGCTGGCTTACAGATAAGATTTTTAATACATTTCAAGTATTGTTTATAATTGTAATAGGTTTTCCTTTTACAAGTAATTTGTAGTCTTAGGTAAACAGCACTGATTAATATAACTACACTAGGTAAAGTGACCTCCAGAATATATTGTGACATTATCAAAACAAGGCAAACACAGACTGGGAAATTAATCTAAGGTCAATCTTATTTCTTTCAATGAAATTTTCTCCCTTCCAGCTTCCTTGAAGGCAGCTCAGGGAAGTGCCAAAAGCTTTGGAGTCAAGCATCCAGCTCTTCACTACACATGACCTTGGGCAAAGAAAATAATTTTCTTGAGTCTCTCCTTTAACGTAATACGGAAAAATAATACCTACCACAAAGGGATGTTGTTAAGAGTAATGAAATAAATATAAGTCCCATCAAATAAAAAATGGTCAATAGACAGCAGCTTCTACTCGCCAATCTTTTTTATTGTATAAAATGTTGTTACTATTTGACAATGATCTCTCCCCAAACCTTGTCTCTGTGAACACATCAGCTCGTCATAGATTTCTAATGAATAATGCTTACACAGAACCTGTTTCAGTACTGTAAGAGTTTGGATCAGCAAGAACAACGTTCTGACAGCTTAGATAATGCCACGTGATGTAACACAGGGCTGTTATAACACAAACTGGGAGAAATCTTCATAGACAGTTACTCTTGCCCTTCAGTTGCTACAAAATAGAACAACGTAATTATCAAATGATCTAAAACTAAAATCATTTTCCCCCTGACATATGTCCAACAGAGTTTAATTAATTTACATTCAAAAATTCAGAAGGGCCCCAGACATGAACATATCTCCCTGGGCAAGGAAAACAAAAGCAAAAATGAACAAGTGGGACTATATCAAGCTAAAAAGCTTCTGTACAGCAAAGGACACCATCAATAGAACAAAAAGGTATCCTACAGTATGGGAGAATATATTCATAAATGACAGATCCGATAAAGGGTTGACATCCAAAATATATAAAGAGC